GCCCCCGCCCCCGCAGGAAGCTCTCCAGCCTGGAGTACCTCGATCTGTCCAGCAACAACCTGTCGCGGGTCCCCGCGGGGCTGCCGCGCAGCCTGGTGCTGCTGCACCTGGAGAAGAACGCCATCCGGAGCGTGGACGCAGACGTGCTGACGCCCATCCGCAGCCTCGAGTACCTGCTGCTGCACAGCAACCAGCTGCACGCGCGCGGCATCCACCCTCGGGCCTTCCAGGGCCTTAAGCGGCTGCACACGGTGCACCTGTACAACAACGCGCTGGAGCGCGTGCCCAGCGGCCTGCCCCGCCGCGTGCGCACGCTCATGATCCTGCACAACCAGATCACCGGCATCGGCCGCGACGACTTCGCCACCACCTACTTCCTGGAGGAGCTCAACCTCAGCTACAACCGCATCACCAGCCCGCAGGTGCACCGCGATGCCTTCCGCAAGCTGCGCCTGCTGCGCTCGCTGGACTTGTCCGGTAACCGGCTGCACACCTTGCCCCCCGGGCTGCCGCGCAACGTGCATGTGCTGAAGGTCAAGCGCAACGAGCTGGCCGCCCTGGCACGCGGGGCGCTGGCCGGCATGGCCCAGCTGCGTGAGCTCTACCTCACCGGCAACCGGCTGCGCAGCCGGGCCCTGGGCCCCCGGGCCTGGGCGGACCTGGCCCATCTGCAGGTAAGGGCGAGGGGAAAGGGGCTGGGTCATGCCCGGTGGGGTGCGGCTGCCATGGCTGCCCCGCGCCCACCCATCGTGTGGGCTCAGCTGAGGGGTGGGTGGGAGGGCCTGGCCGTGGGGTGGGGGCTAGACCAGGAAGCAGTCGGTATGGCTGGCATGCCAGGCACAGCAGCGAGCGGCTGCTATGGCCGGCCTGAGCTCAGCACCTGCAGGAGGGCTGTGGGGATAAGGGGGTTCATGGCTGCAAGTAGGAGGCCCAAGGTCCAGGGGCGGGTGGGGCCGGTGCGGGGGGCACTGGAGAGTCAAGCTCACCCATCTGAAGGCTCAGGAACAGGTGGCTGGGAAAGGCTGGGCTTGGGGGAGGGGAGGGCGCAAGGTCTGGGAGGCAGGCTGACCTCCCGGTGCGGAGGGCTGGGGGAGGCTACCTGAGGCATGCTGGGGCTGCTGAGTGGGCGAGGCTGCTGTGGCCACAGTCTGAGTCAGTTGGGGTATCTGGCTGTAAATGAAAGCCCCCACTCAGTGAGGACCAAGAGGGAACTTGAGTAGAGAAATCTGGGAGGCAGGGCCTTGGTGCTGCAAGGTCAGGAAGTGCCCCCACTCTGCTGCACTACAGGGGGTTGGGGGGACCCCTTCCCCAAATGTACACCCTCCACCCCCCACCCCCCACCCCCGGACTTGCTCCTCCCTGTCTCTCAGGGCTCTGCTCAAATGTTACCTGCTTGGGAGGTCTTCCTTCACCAGCTATCACCCTCCTGTGCTTTGTTTTTCTTCATAATCCTCATCCCTCTGGGCATTAGGTCATCTGTCTGCTTGTTTGTTGCCTGCCCTTCTGCTAGAATGAGGGGCAGGCATTTTAGTCTGTTGTGTTCACTGCTGGCCCCGGGGACCTCTGTGTGGTAGGCTCACAGCACCTGTATTTTGGGAGAGCAGTCATGATGAGCATATCTGAGGGGGGTGCAGGGGCGAGCCCACAGAGTGGGAGGGGGCAGGCAGGCAGGGCTCAGCCCTGAGGGCGGATCAGGGTGGGAGCTGGGGGTAGGCAGCTGGCCCTGCAGGAACAGCTAGCTGGGGTCTCTCCTCACCCAGACGGCCCTGCTGAGGGCCAGACACCGGGATCCAGCTGCCTGGGCCAGGCCCTCGTGGATTGTCCTCAGGAGCCCAGATCCCATCGTCTTCTCCTCCACACCTGCTCCACCTACTCCATTTTCTAACTCGCTGAAGGGGTGCCCACGGGAGACCCGGACGCTGCCCCTGACACCCCCTTTTCATGCCACTGCCCCCCAACACCCATTGTTACTGAACTCTGCCATTTCTACTGTCACACCTCTCAACTCACTTTTCTCCATCCCTACTGCCCCTACTCCAAGCCAAGACACCCCCATTTCTCACCTGGACCCCAGCTCCACAGGAGCTCTCCACTCCTACATCCCATGTGCAGTTGGTGGGTATCTTGAAAAACACACGCTCACCTTCCAGTCCTGCTCAGAACCCTCCCATGGCTCCCCATTGCTCTTAGAACCCAGAGCAGAATCCTTGCCACAGTTCTCAGGGCTGGCCTGCTTCTGCTCCCAGCCAAGCTCCTTAGCCTCCCAGGCACACTGGGTGTCATTCCTCCTGGCCCCGCCGCTGAAGCCCAGCACCCTGCTAACACCTGCTCACTCCTTCGCTCCGCAGCCTGTCGCGGGCCTCCGCCATGTGCAGACACAGCTGCTCTAGAACTGAGGACCTGGCGGGGAGTAAGACAGATGGAGGGGCACTACCCTCCTAGAGCTTGTGATATACCTAGGACTTAGTCCAGGTGTCACCTCCTTCAGGAAGCCCTCAGTGATGGGCAGGTGCGGCCTGGGTGACTTCAGTCAGGGATGAGGTGTCTGGTGGGGGGTTCTTCCTCGCACTGTGGGATCTCTCTCTAAAGCAGCTGCTCCCCCTGCTTCAGAGCCCCCGCCTGTGCCAGCTGCTGTGCTCCCCTGACCCAAGGCTGGGTCAGGCCCCTCCCCTGCGTCCCCTCCACACAGCCCAGTTCCACCAGCTGTCGTCAGATTTCGGGTCCACCCCCGCCCGCAGCCTCGAATGGCAGGGGCAGCATCTCCGTGAATTCCATTTCCCCGGCACCCGTGGGCACTGAGGATGTTTGGAACGAATGAGGCGGTGCCAGGGCTGTGTGGTGGGAACACAGCGGGGAGCAGGGATTCCTGCTGGGTAGGGGAGGTGACGGGGAGGCTCCCCAAGGTGTGTAAAGCTTGTTTCCCCTTGAATCTTGAATCTCGATTCATGGCCCCCAGTTTCCTGACCCTGAGCTTCAGCCTGTCGGGGTGAGGAAGGGAGCTCAGGGAGGATGGAAGCACCCATACCTGCCCAGGTGTGTGGGAGCGAGTGTGTGCTGATGGCCTGGGGGAAGGCAGGGCGCTGGGCCCATGCACGTCCAGGTCTCCTGCCACCGCATGTTTGCTCCGCCCTGGGAAAACCACCCCATTTCCCTGGCCACCTGCGGCCGGCACTCTAGGCATGTGCCGACCCCGAGACTGACCAGCCTAGGGCTGGCTGCCGTGCCAGGGTCACTGTGGGCCTCAAAGCCTTGCTCCCAGCCTCTGCCCACATGGCCTCTGAAGTCCGTGAATGAGCAGCCCCACCCGTATGGACCCCCACCCCCACCCCCACCCTCATCTGGGACCAGTGTGGGGATATTCAAAGACTGGAGGATCCCTGGCCTCTGCCCTTCTGGGGCCTTCAGTCTGATGTGGGGGACAGGCGTGCCAAGGAGGAGGGACTGTGCCACCCAGATATCTTGGCTGTGAATTCATGTGGAAAGGCAGAAGGAGCTGGGCAGGACATAGTTAGAACAAGGGTTGGGGTTCCAGCCTCATGCAGGCTGTGTGGCCTTGGACAGATCTCTTAACCTCTCTGAGCCTCTGTTTCCCCTCCTGGAAAATGGGGGTAGTTCTAGATCCCACCTTACAGGGTTGTCATAAGATTTAGATAGACCACGGGGTGGGTGGGATCTGTGCAAGACATTAAGTGCTTTGACTCCCCTGGTCACTCATACAGCTGCTGGACATCGCTGGGAATCAACTCACAGAGATCCCCGAGGGGCTCCCCGAGTCCCTCGAGTACCTGTACCTGCAGAACAACAAGATTAGCACCGTGCCCGCCAATGCCTTCGACTCCACACCCAACCTCAAAGGGATCTTTCTCAGGTAGGAGGGCCCCCAGGGTCAGCCTGGCTCTGGCAGGATCGCTGAGGCATCCGGGAACAGCTCCCAGGTAGATCAGTGTTCGAAGCCTGGCTTCACTGACTGGCTGTGTGACCCTGGGTACATCCCACACCCCCCTCAGCCTCTGTTTCATCAGCTCTCAAGGGTGGGGACAGTCTGGCCGGGCCTGGTGAGGTTTATAGGTTTGTAAAAGGACTTCAGAAACTTTAACAAGCTGTGCGTGTGGGCGTTATTGATGTTACTGTGGCGGGAAGGGGTACCAGAGAGTGCAGGTGACTGCTGTGCCCGCAGCTGGCCAGGATTGAGCCTGGGCCTCAGATGGCAGATGTTCAGGTCCTCACTGAGCTGTGGGGTTTAGAATGAATTTTTTATTTTATTTTGTTTTTTTAAAGAGACAGAGGGAGAGGGGAGAAGGACAGAGGGAGACAGAGAGAGAATCTTAAGCATGCTCCATGACCAGCATGGAGCCCGAGGTGGGGCTCGATCTCACGACCCTGAGATCCTGACCTGAGCCGAAATCAAGAGTTTGGCGCTTAACTGACTGAGCCACCCAGGTGCCCCTAGGATGATTTTAATGGGGGAGCCCACTCCCCAGGACAGCAGAGTCAGGGTGGTTCTTCCCAACATCCTACCTAACCAACCCCCGGACTCAGAGAGAAGGGGAAGATTCGAGAAGGCAGAATGTGCACCTGCAGGGGATTGGTGGCTGGGTTGGGGTAGAGTGTGACCTATGCCTTGGCTCCTGTGGGGGACTAACGCACAAAGAGTTGAGGGGCCTGATATCAGAGCCCAGCCTCTGCCTCCCCTCAGCCCGAGTGCCGCCCTGGCCCAGCTTGACCATGGCCTTGCCTATGTACCACGCCATACCAGGCAACTCTAGGCTGGCAACCCTGGAGCCCCAGGCCTTGGGGTTAATCCCAGAGGGAGGTAATCCCAGGCAGAGAGGAGGCGCCCACGTCTGCCACCCCCAAATCTTGGAGCATTTGCAGATGGGGGCCTGCCCCTCACTGTAGGAGATGAGTGGCCCAGGGTCTGGGCTCACTCCCCGCTCCAAGCTATAGCCACACTGAACAGCTGGGACTTACATGATGCACCTTGCTTCTCAGCACTGCCCCCCCCCAGCCCTGCACCCCTTTTGTGCTTACTGTGCCCTCTTCCTGGAGATCTTGTTCCCTCTTTCCCTGCTAGGGTGGGTGGGGGTGGGAACTCTGAGGGTCAGGCCTCTGGCACTGACCGCACATGGCGGCCCGCACAGGTTTAACAAGCTGGCTGTGGGCTCCGTGGTGGAAAGTGCCTTCCGGAGGCTGAAGCACCTGCAGGTCTTGGACATAGAAGGCAACTTTGAGTTTGCTGACGTTTCCAAGGACCGGGGCCAGTTGGAAGAGGAAGAAGATGAGGAAGACGAGGAGGACGAGGATGAAGAGGATGAGGAGAGGCGATAGTGACAGGGTGAACCGGATGTGACATAGGTAGGTGGTCTGTGTGGGGGCGCACTGACCTCTCCCCACCAGTGTCCTGTCCCTGACCCCAGTATGGGCCCTGGGTGAGGGGCTGGCAAGCCTGTGGGAGGCCGGCACAGGCTGGGGACTCTCCAAGGTGATGAGCACCCCAATGGGACACGCGCAGGGGCTGGGACGGTGGAAGCAGGGAATGGATATGGGCGCCCAGGAGAAGGCTACTGCTGTGAGCCAGGCCGCAGGTGATGGGGGAGCCAGTGAGGATGCACACAAGCAGATGTCCTGAAGGGGTTTGGGGAGGGACAAGCAGACTCCAGAGGCCAGAGTCGCCCTGCTGGGCATGAGGTGAGGGAGAAGACAAGCCCCCAGACCTAGCTTGGAATCCCGGGAGGATGATAGTACTGGGGGAGCAGATTTGTTGAGGTGGTAGGAATGTTGAGTTAGATAGGCCGGTGGGGGCGGTGCTCAGGCGGCTGCCCAGGGGTGGGCCAGATATACGGGTCTGGGGCTGGAGAGTGAGGTCTAGGCTGGAGATGGGGGTCCAGCCATCATCAGCCTAGAAATAGTCCGGAGGCCACAGGAGGCTCAGGGAGCTCGCTTGGGGAGAGTGTGAGGCCATGGCCAGCTGCAAGGGAGCCTGCGGAAGGGGCTGGAGGGAAGCAGGGAGGGAAGGAGGTAGGAAAACCCCAGGCAGTCAAGGACAGAGGGAGATTATGTGCATGTGCAAAACAAACACCCCACGTGGGCACATTGTGCACACACATGTACCCATGCTCACACGTGTGTCTAGACACACATACACTCGGGGCGCCTGGCTGGCTCAGACGGTTAAGCGTCTGCCTTCAGCTGGGGTCATGATCCTGGGGTCCTGGGATCGAGTCCCGCATCGGGCTCCCTGCTGAGCAGGGAGCCTGCTTCTCCCTCTCCCTCTGCCTGCCGCTCCCCCTGCTTGTGCTCGCTCTCTCTCTAATAAAAAATTAAAAATCTTAAAAAAAAAAAACACGCATACGCTCGCACAGAGCACACACTTGCAGAACGCATAGTGCACACAGACACACATGCACGTGCTCCATGGAACATCCGCAGGCGCAGAACGGGTACGTGCTTGCACACGCGTGGAGGACGCGTGCATGCGACTACACACTGTGTCCCCATGCACAAGGCCCTTGTGGAGAGAGCAGCCGTGTTAGTGCTGCTGAGAGGCAGGTGGCGGGAGCCCTAGCAAGGAACCCCCAGATTTGTCCACGAGGAGCTCAGCTGTGACCTTGTGGGGGAGTGGCCTCAAGGGCAGTGGGGGTGGAGAAAGGAGCTGGCAAGCAGAGACCCCACGGAGCATACACACCTCTCTCAAGAAGTTTGGCTGTGAAGAGAGGACATGAGAGGGTGGCAGGGGGACGGCGGTGTGAAGTTCAGGCGGGGCTCCAATTACCTCTTGCCCTGTTCAGAAACAGAGCCGGTTGGAGTGCTGATGGGGAGGGGCTGGCCTGGAGGAGGGGGTTAAAGACGGGACAGAGGAGAGCAGGGCGAAGCTAGCCCCGTAGAGACGGTAGGAGGGACCGGCTTTGGCAGGAGGGACGGAGGACCGAGTGGCTGCAGTCACACACAGCTTAGTGGCTTGGTGGCTGGACACGCAGTCCTATCAGCCCGATGCCTTCAGCCTTCTGTTTTCTCTGTGCAGCAGGAGGCGCTCGGCTGACCGGGGTGGGTGTGGAGAAGATGGGCCATTGGATCCATCCGTGGCGGGGTTTTTGGCCAGGTGTGTGGGACAGAAGGGTAAGGAACGAGGATGTTGAGGGTACTGGCAAGCGAATGGCTGCAGCGTGGACCCCGGGGGTCAGTCTGGGAAGGGAAGGAGGTGTAGACAGGAGAGTGGGGTGGGCAGGGCCTCTGGAGAGGGACGCTGGAGAGTGGGCACCGTGTGGTGAGTAGCCGGGAGGAGAGCTGTGGTCAGAATGAGCTGAGCTGGCAGGGTCACAGGGTCAGGCTGTGACCATGGGAAGGGGCCCCTGGGCCACTGTTAGGACACTGACTTGAAGTAGGGGCTTGGGTCAGAGAGGAGACTGCAGGGTGGTGGTGAGGACCCCATGGGGGGATGACAGAGGGAGGTGGGGCTGACAGAAGGATGTGGCTGGGGTCGTTATCCTAGCTCGGAGAACAGGCCCAGAGGCCATGCTTGGGAGTCCCCTTCCGCTGCTGCTGGGGCCCTAGGGGAGAAGGTGGAGACCTCCTGTCTAGAAATTGTCCTCAGGCAGAGCTGGGGATCAGGGAGGGGGGGTGACCAGCTGTTCAGTGAGGATGCTCTGGCCCTCCTGAGGGGGCTGTGGAGTCCTGGGATGGGGGAGAATCTGCCCCCTCTGGAGGCCATTGGCCTCAGGCAGGTCTGTTGGGGGGTTGCCTGGGAGGGGCCCTGGGGAGTGGCCAGAGGCGAGTCGATACCAGGCCTGGCCAGTCAGCGAGAACACTGCCCAGTGGGTGGCCTGCTGGCTCTGGGCCCCCAGGGGCAACTCCCCCTCCCGCCTGCAGTGGCCTAGCCCTCCCAGAGTCCCCTCAGGGGGGCCTCCTAGCTCGAGCCCACCTTCCCAAAGCTGGCAGGTCTGCCCCTGACTCTTCCACATGTTCTGCAGGACAGCGGACCGCCGGACCCCTTTCTGCAGCACGTACCCGTGCCCTGTGAGCCCCGGTCTGCCATGCTCACAGACGCACCCAGTGCCGCCCCCACCAGCCGCCCGCCGCCACCACACAGGCTGAGCACTCAGTCTCCCATCCCCACCCGTTCCGGCAGCACCCTCAGCCACACATGGGCAGGCACCACGACACGTCCACACACCGCGGGCTGCACGGCGCCCACCGAACAGTTCCGCTCCCCTCCCAGGCCCTCCATCGCCATCATGCCCCTGACTCATGCAGACTCGGGGAAGGGTCTGACCCTGCCCTGGCTCCCACGGGTGCCTGCTCCCTTTACCATGGACCCCCCACCCTCCCCCCACACACACAAGTCACATGCAGACAGCCCTCTGTGGCCCCTGCCACCAACACCTCTTGCCCCAGCCAGAACTGGCCAGAACAGCTTGCTATCTGCTCAGCCGTCTGTCCATCCGTCCACTGGAGAAGACAGAGTTATCTTGGAGCTCTCTGTGGCCAGGGGCCCGCCACCCTCTGGAACTCACAGAAGCTGACGTTTCTGTTCCCCCCTTTGGGACTGCTTCCCTGGCCCCCAGCCGCTGGGGCGGTCACCCCCTGCCATGCCCCGGCCGGCCACAGGCACGTCTTTGACAGAAATCCCACCGAGGCCAGAGGGAAAGTCTCCCGGGGCGGCTGGGGCCTTGGGCAGGAGTGAGGTGGAGGGGCAGGGCTAAGCAAGGAGGAAGGCCCAGCTGCCCTGATGACATACCTTTTTTATTCTTTGGGCCTGTGGGGGAGTTCTGGGTGCCTTTGGACTTTGAATTCTTTTTAAGAAAAAAATGATAAAAAAAAAAAAACAACACCTCAAAGCTGATTTTTCTTGTTACAGAAAAACTAATATAAAAGCATTACCCCTTTCTGGCAGCCCGTGGCCGTGTCTGTGTGTGCTTCCTGTCAGGTGCTGGGCCGGCTCCCGGCTGGGGGTGGGCAGGACACAAGCACCTCAGGGCCTGTCCAGACTGGCAGGAGTCGGCGCAGAGTTTAGTTGTTGGGCCCACAAGTCATCTCACGGGCCGAGGTCCAGGGGTGTGGGGTTTAGTCACAGGTAAGGAGGCCTGAGGCATGTGTGGCCCGTCTGCTTGGTGGGGGTCAGCAGGTCCGGCCAGGACCACCACGTGAGCTCACTCTGCACTTCCAGAGGCTGAGCATCTGAGCAGAGGACCTCCTGGCTTTGGGCTACTCAGGCTTACCCGGAGGACCGCCTGCGCCCTGAGCGGGCATCACTGATGGGGGTGTCCCCAGGACGGCTGGGATGGGAAGGAGCCTGGAGGCAGGCCCAAGCTAGAGCAGAGTCCCTTGGGGGCCCAGGTCTTTGCAAGCCTGCCCAGGGAAGAAATGACGGACATGTCTAGTGCTCCCACCAGCCCCAGCAGGGCCAGAGCTGGAACTGGGAGGGGCAGCACCCGGCTTAGAGCAAAGCAGAAACTCTGGCGAGCAGAGCCGCCCCACAGTGGATGAGACGCCCAGGAAGCAGTGTCCTCCCGCTCCTGGAGGTGTGTAAGCATGCTCCTGTCGAGCCCAGTAAAGAGCAGATTCCTGCCTTGGGGTGGGCCAGGCTCCACTGCTCAAAGGGCCTTAGAGATGTGACACGAGGAAGGGATGTTTTAGCCCGTCCACATGATTGTGGGAATGACTGATAGCTTGACCTCTGACCTCTCTTTGGTGATTAGGCCTTAATGAAGGAAGGATGTTCCCATGGTAGACCCTCCAGCCCCTGGCTCTGCAATGGAACGGGGATCCTAGGATCAGGGCCCTTCCTGGACTCCTCAGACTGCGGCCCTGGGAGGAGGATAGGAAGTAGTTCAGGAGTGGGGGCTGGGAGGGCAAGTGCCCTCCTGAGTCTCTGAGTGACTTTGGGAAGCCCATCCCCTCCCCCCGCTTTAGTGTCTTCCAGGGCTCCTCCGTGCAAGACCCTAGAGCTGCGTCTTCTCCCCAGAGCCCATTCAGAACAGGCCGTGTGGCCAGGGCTTTTCTGTGTCCCCTATGAGCTTCCTGGAGGCACCCTGGGCCTGAGGAGAATGAGGGAGAGTCTGGAAATGTCTTTGGGCACGTCCGCTCCTGAAAGCAAAGCATTCACTAAAGGGATCAGACTATTTGAGGAAACTTGTCTCTTTTGTGGGGACTGATCTCTGTGGTCTGTCCACACTGGCTGTGGAGACAGGCCCCCGGGGAAGCTGATTCGTACTCTGCCTCCTACCTATGACAGCTCAGACAGGCCTGGCTTCATTCCAGCCCCCAGGACAGGCTCGTTTGCACTCTGGCTGCCCAGACAGGCCTGTCCACACACTGCCAGGCCAGCTAGACCTGTCTATCCTCTGGCTACATGGACAGGCCTGACCCTACATTGGCTGCCCAGTCGGGCCAGTCTGCATCGCAGACAGCCTATATTAGCCCAATAAAGAAATGCTGGCCAGGGTGTGGTCGCTACGCCCACAGACTTAAAAAACAAAATACCTTTATTTAGTTATCACTGAATATGCAAACACAGAAAGGAGTAGAAAATCTAACACCACTTCGTCACACAGGCTTGCGTAGAGGGCTGACCCCAGGGCTCCATGGGCAACTTGACCAAAGCATCCCATCACGCCTGCCTCCCCAGTCCTGGCTGGCCTACCTATCCTGTGGCAGGCTGGCCCAGATGTCTCTAAGGGTCCCTGCAGCTCTTCTGAAGACATCCCCTCTCCACGTCAGCTGAGCTTTGTGAGAGACAACTGCTGGGATGGGCTGTGGCACGCGGCAGGCAGTGGGCCTCAGCCTTGGGCTGGGCTGTCCTCGGGGAGAGCTTTGTCTGAGGCCACGTGTTACAGGGCAGGGAGGGGGACGGGCCTGGGCAGGGACACAGCTGGGGCAGAACCAGGCTGTTGTTATGTCTTCATAAACTGAAGGTAGTGGTGGCTCAGAGCTCCTGGAGGGGGGCAGAAACCCTTGGCGTCTGGCCCTGCAGGCCCCCGTTCTCTGGGAAGGAGTGGCCAAGGCTTGAAAGACTTGAGTGAGAGTCCTGGCCCTGACATTATTTGCTGAGACCTGGCGTGAATGTTTGCAGCTCACAGAGCCTCAACTGTGTGATCCAGAAAGTGAGACCATATAGTGCCTGCCTGCCACCCTCCTAGGCCATCACAGTAGACATGTCACAGCCGGGGCTTAGGCCATGCCGGCTCATCATTCTCCAGCTGGGGCTCCCACCTGCGGTTTTTCCCTTTCCGGAACTCCACTGTCTGACAAGTGGGGCTCATTCTGGCCTCTCAAGGGTGGGAAGAGTGTGTGAGCCTGGCTCCTGGCAGGTGCTCAGAAAAGTAGGTGAGTTGAGATCTTGCCCTTGGCGCCTAACCCTGGAGGCCTCCCCTGGCCCCTGCGGCCCTGCAGGCTCAGACATTGGTCTCAAGCTCACTAATCTCAATGGTGCAGTGGTCCAGACAGGTGGCAGCTGACTCCTCGTCCTGCTCCACCTGGACGGGGATGTGGTGGGGACAGGCGGGACCCAGGGTCAGCTCTGAGGCCTCAGCCACGCTCTTCACACAGCCGTTCTGCTGGGTTGCCACGATCTCCTGGAGGCTCACCGGCTTGGTCTCACAGGGCGGCAGTTTCTGGGGAGGGGAAACAGGCCTTGGTAGCAGCAGGAGGGAGTGAGGTTAGACACTGGGGTGGACTGAATGAGCAAACCATGTGATTGGTTTTCCTACAGATGTGCTGTGGGACCTTGATAGGTCACCCAGGCCCTCTCTGGGCCCCCAGTTCCACTCTGTCCTGCTTCCTTCTGAGGCTGTCTTAGTGGAGGAGGGCCACACCGTCTGGCGAGCGAGTTGGTGGCTCCCCTGCCTGTCCCCCACCCCACACAGAGTGGGAGAGCCTGCTACAGAGTTATTGAAGGAGCCCTGAAAACCATGAAGTCCTGTGCAGACGTACAAACATTTGCACTGTTGTCAGCAGGACAAAAACACCTCCATGCGAGGGTCCAGGCTCCAGGGCTTCATCTTCCGTTGTTCCCACTGCTCCTCCCACGATCCACCCACCGCCGTGGTGAATGCTCAGCAAGCAGCCGTTAGAGGAATCAGTCACCCCCGTACAGAGGAGGAGACCGAGGCCAGAGGCAGGGAGGGCTGGGCAGAAGGCTGCCGGCCCCGGTGAGAGGACCTGGTAACATCCCCCCCGCCACCCACAGCTCACCCTCTCAGCGGCCAGGCCAGGAGGGAGGCACTGCTCTCACCTCAGTGCCTGTTTCCTGAGCAAAGTCCTTCCGGCAGATGTGGGCCATGATCCCGGCCGCCAGCGCATCACCCAGCACGTTAATCATGGTGCGGAAGCGGTCCCTGGTGAGCCAAAGTGGGCACTGAGTGGCGGGCACTTTTTTTCTGTAGGAGGAGCTGGTGGTGGGTGGCGCTCAGCCCAGGCTGGGGCCCGCAGCAAGGTGCCTTTCGGGTCCTCTTGAGCCTACCAGCCCCCCCCTCCCCCCCACCGGGGGCGATGCCAGAGCAGGTTGACGCACGGCTGGCTTCCTGGGCACGTGACTGTGCCCGTGCTTAGAAGGGCCTGGGCTGGGTCTAAGGCTCTGCTCCCACCCTCTGGAAGTTCTTTATCGGTTTTGAACAGGGGTGGGCACATTTTCGTTTTCGGACACTGGGCCCCACACACTATGCCACCGGCTGGGCTGGTGTCCGTGAGCACGGCACCCCCGCTGGGCCAAACCACCGCAGTTCCCCGGCCCACCCCCCACCCCCACCGGCTGCCCGGCGAACCCCACTCACAGAGCCCAGTCGACAGCGATGATGAGGGTGATGTCGTCAGTGGGCAGTCCCACGGACGTCAGCACAATGACCATGGTGACGAGCCCAGCCTGGGGGATGCCAGCCGCCCCGATGCTGGCCGCGGTGGCCGTGATGCTGCAGGAGGGGCAGGCAGAGCAGGGGGAGAAGCAGGAGGGGCAGGCCTCGCTGCTGGGGCCCTGGCTCCAAGAAGGAAGCCAGAATGCCAGGGCCTCTGGGGACAGCCATATGGGGCCAGGCTTGTCGGGAAAGCCACATCGGGAAGTTCTCGCAGTGGGGGCGCGTGTCCCTGCTCAAGGTCCTCTGGCCCCGTGGCCTCCATCCCTGGCCTCAGCAGAAACTCCTGAGGAGTTTGTGGAGAAGCCTGTCCCTGGAGCCACTGCCTCGGTAGGGTTCCAGGAAGCTGCCCGGGGATTCAGGTCGACCCCACACAGCCCTGCCCAGCCTGCTTCTGGGGCCTGGTTCCCAGGGCCAGCCTTGTGCCCTCGGGCTGGCACGCAAGGCCTTCCCCACGGCCTCTGCCCCTCACCCCAGCACCCTTCCCTCAGCTCCAGCCACACTAGCAGTCCCCCCTCTGTCCCTCGTCCTGGCCCCCGCCTCTGCTCACCCCGTGCCTGCCTGCAGCCCCCTCGCTGCCCTGCGTGTCCAGACTGCAGGCCCTCCTCTGGGCCTCAGCTTCCCAGCCTGCTCTGCAGGGTGCCGCTGGGGAAGGAGCCCTGAGTCACAGACGCCAGGTCACGATCCAGCCACAGCACTGACTTGCTGTGTGGCCTGGAACAAACCTCTTCCCCGAGACCCCACCATACCTGGGAGCTCAAGAATCCTAAAGGCCCTTCCAGTGTCCTCCTCTCCCCGCCTGCCAATCTACACTGGGTATGGGTGTCAGGTATGTACCTGATGGTGATGATCTGGCCGAAGTCCAGCTCATAATTGTTGACCTGGGCAATGAAGATGGCGGCCACAGCCTCGTAGAGTGCGGTGCCGTCCATGTTGATGGTGGCGCCCACAGGCAGCACAAAGCGGGCAATGCGCCGGTCAATGTGGTTGTTTTCCAGCAGGCACTTGAAGGTGATGGGCAGTGTGGCTGAGCTGTGGGCAGAGGGGTCAGGGTCTGCCTACCACCCTCTTCCCCTGCCAGGGACAGGAATCTCGTCCCCACCCCACGCAGCCTACTCATCACCGGTGGGAAGAGGCTGAAAGAGCTTTGCAGTGGTCTCAAGTGGCATCCTTGGGGAGTGTGAGATCAGTGGCCCAGCCAGGCCCGCCCAGGCCTAGCACCTGAGAGATCCCCAGCAACCACCCGGGTTGGGAAAGGAGCCGCCACCAGCAGAGCACATACTATGCGCCAGGCACTGTGCTTGACGTACGCTCATCCGATCCTCTTGGCTTCCTGTGAGGGAGGGGTCTTGAGGCTGTTTGACAGATGAAAAAACAGAAGCCCAGAGGGGACGAGGGGCTGACCCAGAGTCACAGCGCGGTGCCATGCTTAGATGAAGTGGCTGGACTTGCTGGATTTCGATCCCAGCCTCCCACTAGCCAAGTGGCTCTGGCAGGTTCCTCAACCTGTGCATGCCTTAGTCTCCCTGTCCCACGTGATACCTAGATTACAGCGCTATGAGGGTGGTTCAACGAGAAAGCGCTTTGAACAGTGTCTGGCACTTGGCAAGCACTCAGATGGCAGAAACCACTCCGATCACTATTATGGTGTTTGCAGCGAAGCTCCTGGTGGCCGTGCTGAGACAAAAACGCAGGTTGGGGTGGCCCCAGTGCCCTTCCTCTACCACAGGCCACTGCCTGGGGGCCCATGTCCGCTTCCCAGTGTGCTGGGCCCAAGGCTGTGGCTCCTGCCAAGCAGGAGATGGCCCAGGGCTGCTGGCTCCAGCAGGGCTTGGCCTGTGGCCTGGGGCCCAGCAGCCACTTGGGACTTTGTCTTTCCTTTCCACCTCCTGGCCCTGCCCTGTGCGGAGGTTCCTGGATGAGGCTTCTGGGGCTTCTCCTCCCTGGGGCTCTGCTTCTCCTCAATTCTTCCTGAGGTGCTTTGGCTGCCAAGGATGGGGTCATGTGGCTGCCGAGGAAGGATCTCTGTGGTGGCCTTCATTCCCATTTGACAGATTGGAAGGGTGAGGCCCAGAGAAGAGAAGGCAATAAGGGCTGGAAGGAAGAGCCAGGCTTTGGCTCCAGAGAGACACGGGCCTGAGCTCAGGTGACTTCCTTCATATGGAGCTTGGACATCTGCTATGGGGAGAACCACCCTTTCTTCCTGGCGTATAGAGCACTTTCTCCCCCTTGAAAGACACCTGGGTTTGCATGACTCCAACCCCCTGGGCTCTTCCGCACTCTGCTGTGGGCTGGGATCCTGCAGAGCAGGTGCCACTTCATCTAGCCCAGACCAGCCTTCTTGCCCTTTGGTGGCTTATCTCCACTCATTCCCATGGCAACCCTCTGAGGCAGAGGCCACCATAACCCCCAATTTGTATGTGAGGAAATGGTTGCCCAGGGAGCTCAAGTGACTTGCCCACAGCCACACAGCCAGTGGGTGATGGAACCGTGATTCAAATCCCCACTGGCTAGTGACACTGTCCAGGTGTGACAGGGCATCCAGCCAGGATGTCCCCGTGGCTGCAGATGGGCCAAGTCCCTAAACAACGCAGGGCCCGACTCCAACAGAAGCATGGTGTGGCAGAGAAAGGCGAGAGCAATTGCAGATTCATCCCTTGTCAGCTGTCCCGACCCCAGGTGTGCAGAAGCCACCCCCACATGGACTGAGTGGGCCTTAGAGACTCGGGCAGTAGGGGAGGGGAAGGCGTTAAGAGGCAATAAGGGCTTCCTGCCATTCGGCGGGCAGGTGGGACCTCAAGCAATCCATTTCAAAAATCGGTCTCATTACCATAGCTCCCCCCAAGTTTGTGAAGTGGGCCACACTGAAACTTGCCAGGTTCTATGGCTATGGACACATGACGGCGGGACAGAGGAACAGATTCAGCCACTGCCCTCCCCCCACCCTGCGCATCACCCGGGGCTACCTGGAGGAGGTGGCTAGTGCGATGAGCAGGGCCTGGAGGACACCGCGGATGAAGACAATGGGGTTCTTTTTGGTAATGAAGAAGTAGAGCAGGGGCAGGATGAAGAGGCCGTGGACCACCAGGCCACACACCACAGTGACCGCATAGAAGCCCAGCTTCTTTCTGACAGCCGTGGGGTCATCCATCTCCAGGATCTTGCCAGCGATGAGGAACACAATGCCGAAGGGGAAGTACCTGGGGGCAGGGTGGGGACGGGCAGCCAGCTCAGGGCCAGGCAGGTAAGGGTCCCAGGCAGCGATGCAGTACCAGGGCACATGGCGTCATTCATACCCCGGCCCCCAACCAGCCCAGCCCTGCAAGACCTCTGGCCTCTGTGCCTTCCCATCTAGGCCTTTGAGGAGTGCCCTGCCCTCAGCAGGCCCTTGTTTCAACCCAGCAGTGCCACAAACTTCATGCGTGACGTTGGGCAAGCCTCTGCATTTCCCCATCTGAACTGGTTGGACTAGAAGATTCCTAAGGCCTGAGCGCTGAACCAAGAGGGGCAGCTGGTTCTCGCTTCCAGTGTTCCTCTTCTTCAAAAGCTGAGCTGATGAGACTCCATGTGATGGGGAAACTGGGCCAGGAGAGCAGGGCTACGCTTAGCTTGTAACTTTCCTCCAGTGGGCCTGACCAGGCCAGAAATGGCAGGCTCAGGGCTGGAATGAGGCCTGGTCAGGGCTGGCGGAAGGAGTGGAATCCAGGGGAAAATGTGTAGCTCTGGAGGCCCCAGGCCAGGGCTGAGCCTCCTGTGCAGCTTTCTGCTTACGCTAGGAAAGCAGAGGAAGGGACCGTGGGTGTCCCTCCATCCGCACAGGGCAGGGCTGGAAGGGGGCGGGTGAAGGTAGAAGAGGACGCTCCTGTCCCCCCATGAGGCTTACCACACAGCCACCGCCACAATCTTCATGACAGACTCATTGAGGCACTGGCAAAAGCTGACTAGAGGGGTTCCGCTGTCACCCATGCGGCCCAGCATGATGCCTGCGGGGACAGGGACACACAAGCATATCACGGATGCCACAGACTGAGATGCAGTTGCGCACGACATCATCACGTGCTGGCACAGGCTGGTGGCGAAGCGCGGACAGAGCCACGTGCGCATGGAGCCCGCGGGCCTTGGCCGACTTCCCAGCAGCCTTTGATGCACCAGCGCTTCCCCCAACCCTTTCCCTTCCTTCTCAGCCGCCACCACTGGACCAGGGCTCTTGTCTCGTCCTCCTTGCTCATCCATAAAAATGCTCCCTGCCATACACCCCTCACTGGCTTCCTGAGCCCTCAGACCATCACCAAGCTCCCCACTGCTTCAGGCCCCAGTCAGTCTGACCTGTCTACACCTCCCACCTCCATCTGGCCCTGCTTTTCACCTTCTCACTATGCTCTGGCATCACTGGCCTTCCTTATGTTTCTAGAATACATCAAGCTTCTCACTGCCACAGGGCCTTTGCCCACATAGGTCCCGGTGCCCGAAACCCTGTCCGCCTGGCTCCGCATGCGGCCTGGGGACCTGTCCCCACTCCCCTCGGCATACTCCCGGTTTGTTCTTCTCTGTCTCATCTCTTTCTGATCCCTTTATATCACTATTACAACTTATAACTATTATTTTCCAGTTGTCCGTTGTTTCTTCTCATGTCCTCCAGCAGAAGATTAGCTCCATGAGGGCAACAACAGTATTTCCTTCGCTGGCACATTGTAGGTGCTCAACGATAAGCACCTAATGACGGAAGGAACAAAGGAATGACTAATAAAGCCTTTCCTGGAGCCCCTGTTATTCCCTTCCTTGGGGGGGTGTTCATTTATGTACTCTTTCAGGTGAGCTGTATGCAAGTGAGCACCATCAGGCCACTCCTGAAACATGGACAAGGGACAGCTGTCCCTTCCGGTGACACAAAAATAGAGAGCAAAGCACTCTGTGGCTGCCCTTGGAAAGCTTGCTGGCAATGTGCTTGGAGGGGCTCACCACCTGGGTCAGCCAGGGAGAAGCAGGGCCGGGATTTGAACCCTGGCCTACGGGACTCCAGAGAGAGGCCCTTTACCTGCCCCAGAAGCCCTGAGCCCACACGGTCCACAGAGCAGCTACCACACAGTGATGGGATAACACGGGACCCTGCTGCTGTGATTAGGAGAGGCCCAAGCTGGAGGTGACACAGCCTAGCCCAGCCCATCTGGCCTGTGGAAGCCTGGCTGAGCTGAGACCCAGGTCCCCTGCCAGCTCTGTTGCTCCTCAGCCTCTTCCTGCCTGAGTCAGTCTCCACTTAGATTTCCCTGGAGGCACCTAAGGGCTCTGGCTGGCTGGGTGCTGGTGTGCACAGGACCCAGGGTGTGGCAGGAGGCCTCCTGCAATAGTCAAGGCTAATGAGGCCTCAGCATCAGCCACGTCCCAACACCAGGGGAGAGATGGGGAGAGGAGGCTGTGTTGAGGGGACCATTCGGAGCAGCTGGGCAAGTGTGGCTTGCTCACACTCAGATGTGGGCACACACAGAAGCAGGCACACCCTGAGGTGGGCCCGCACAGATGCACGCACGGGCCCAGGCACACGCTGACTTGGACACACATACACAGATCTGCATACACACTTGGGCCCACATATACAAACACGGATGCACTGACACATGGACAGTTACACACGTCCAGTCAACACTTAGTGAACTGAGTCCAAGGGTCCCCGGGTTTCTTTTGCTCCGCCAGCAGACGTCCTGTTTATATGTTCCCACCTCTAAGAGAGGCGGCTGGGGAGGAGGAGGAGGAGGAGTGTCCACTGAGGACCGATTGCCAGATGTGCTGCAAGCGCTTCCAAGCACCATCTTGTCACACACTCGGGTCCTTGAGGCCCTGGCCCCTCTGCATGCCTGACCGTCGAGCCAAGACGTTAAGAGCTTCCTCATCCACCATGGCCCATCCATTCATCCAGCCATCCACCCATCTCTCCAACAGATTTTCCCGCGTGCCTGCTCTTGCCAGTCCGGGCGGTGGGCTGTGGGGATAAACGGGGAACAAGCCAGGCCCATCTCTGCCTGCATGGAGCTCACACCTGCTTCTGTGCAACTTCAACAGAAACAGATAACTGCAGTCGGTCAGACGTTTAAGGAGGAACATGGGGCACCTGATCAGTCGGGGGGGGGGGTCGGTAAGACTTTCCCGAGGACATGATGCGTATGCAGACCTCCGTCCCCCCACCCCCGGCAAGGATGAGAAAGGTGCAGGGGAGAGGAAGGGGCCGGAGCGGCCGGTTGGCAGGAAGTGGGAAGGGCTTGGGGGAGGCGGCTTCCGGAAACCGGAAAGCAGCATGGCGGCCGGGAGCGGGTGGGGCGGGAAGAGAGCGGGAGCAGAGGAGTTGGGGGGCAGCTGCGCCGGGGCACGCGGAGCTCCGCAGGCCACGTGCAGCGCTCGGGCCCCCTTTCCAAGTGCACTGGAGAGCCCCTGGAGGCTTTTTGCAGAACTTTACGAGCCGGTGAGGAGGACACACCAGGACAGGGACTCTTCAGGAGGCTCGTGCAGAAACCAGGTGAGAGGTGACGGTGGCCCTGAACCACGGGGGTGGCAGAGGGCAGAGGGAAATGCAGGCTCGGAGAGAGGTTTCAGAGGTAGACCTGACAGATTTGGATGCGGGCTGGGGCAGGGGCCGAGGCAGAAAATGGCGCCCGGATGCCCTGCGTGAACAACCAGAGGATGGTGAGAAAACCTTGTGGAGAAGTCAGGGAGGTGGGAGAGGCCCTCCCAGGCCCTTGGCCAGGGTGAAGAGGGAGGTTGATGCCAATTTTAGAATAAGACAATGACCTCTGACATGGTCTCGAAGGACAAGATGGGGATTGACGAGCTAGATTGTTCTGGATGGCTTGTCCCCACGAAGGACAAGGGTTTCGTGTGTGTGTTGGGTGTTGCTGGCAGAGGCAGACCCATAGGTTTTGTGGGATCTGACGCTTATACAGTTTGGGGCCCTCTCTACGGAAAAATAATAGTGTGTGTGTGTGCGCGCGCGTGTGCGCAAATGATAGTGTGTGTGTGTGTGTGTGTGCGCGCGCAAATGCGCACGCAAAAAAGGTACAGAAAGACCTTTGCAAGTTAAGCTTCACTGGCTTCATGGTAATAGCCTATGGCTGGGGGTCTTGGCACCTCCCAGAGAAGAGTAGCAAAGGGGAGGATGTGGTCAGGAAGCCAACTGTGGGCCCTGAGAAATGACACAGACATGTCTGAGGAGACAGTTGGCCAGTGAGAAGCCCCTGTGGGAGATGGAGGGGAGAAATAAGGGCTTTAGAGAAATGGTAATGACTGAGAGTTTTAGATTTTTCCTGTTCTTTATTGTAATGTCCCCCCACCCTGCCCCAGGAACCCCAGACCTCAGTAAAATGGAACTGGCTGCTAGGAGGGGGGCCCAGGGATGGTCCTCTTTAAGGGCAAGCTGACACCCCTGGAGGCTGACTAGCACCCAGGGAGGGAGAATTCCAAGTGAGGAACACCAGCTCTACCCGGGGGGAGGACAGGAGACACCCCTCGGTCATAGAATGGGGACTTAAGCCACTCCACTGGCTAGGAAAGAAAGGAGCCACCTGGAAGATAGGAGACTCCAGGTTATTCACGTTAGTGGGTACAGGGTGGCAGAGAAGGATGGATGCAAAGGGGACTGGCTGCAGGCCACTGCCAGTGTGGGGCGGGCAGCACATACCCATGGTGGCAGAGAAGATGACAATGCCCAGCACGTTCATGCCGTCGATGGTATCAGGCTCTGACTTGTAAACAACCTCAGGTGGTGGGGTCAGGTCCAGGGCGAAGTTCTGAACACGAGAGCCATTCTCTTCCTGGACCCCATAGACGAGGATCTGCCGAGGAGGGGTCTCCTCCCATGCCATCTTGGGGGATTTGACAACGGGGGTGGTCTTGGTGCGGTACTAGTGGGCGACACCCCAACCAGGAAGGAGTCAGGGCCAAATACTGTTCTTAATGTCATCAACAACAACAATAACATCTTGGAGGCACATTTGGATGCAGTCAAGAACTATTTGACTGACAATAACCCTGTGAGGTAGGCAGGAGTATTACCAAGATTTTACCAAAAAGAAAATTGAGAGTCCTTTATCCATGGACACACTCCCCAGCCATGCGTCTCTCCACCCCTTCCTCCCTCTTCTTCCTTCCCTGCGTCATCGCACCCATCTGGGTCCCTCACTACCCATCTCTTCTTCTACCCAGATAATTTTCCATTCACCTACCTATGCCTTCCAAGCATCCATTTTCCATCCACCTAACAGCCAGCCAGCCCTGCCTGCCACTGATGGAAACTTGGACCTTCTCTTTGAAAAAGTTCAGCTTGCCCCAAGCCTTTTTGAGGAGAAGAGGATCCAGCTGGGAGGAACTGAGCCTCCAAGCCGGCTCCCTTTCCTCCTCTGCCCTCCCTGGGTCTTCCCCTCTCATTCCTTGGGCACTAGGAGCCCAAACAAGGGAGTCCTCTCTCCTCCCAACACCACAGTGTCAATGAGGTAGGTCTTCTGGGGGTTGGGGTGGGGGAACCACTCAGGAAATATATGGGACCTCAAGTTTCCATGCTTCAGTTTCTTTATCTGTAAAATGGGGGTCACAGTCGTATCTAGCTCGTTGGATTAAATGAGACAACATATGTGAAGTGTTTCAACGGTGCCTGGCGTGTGGCATGCCTTACGTGGTCTTTACCGTTAACCGCTGTTATCACGGCACCACCACCATCATCATCATTCCAACACTGAACATGCTGTGGTGGACGCCAGGGACACAGAGATGAACCAGACATGAGTTCTGCTCTGACAGCATTGGGGAGGGAGTGACTTACTTTGCCTCAGGGGTCAGACCGCTTCCCAAAGAAGGGGACATTTGAGTTGGGCCTTGAAGGATGGGTAGGAGTTTGCCAAAAGAGAAAGGGCATTCTGGGTAGGTATAAGGTAGAGCAACATTCATTCTTTCTCTCTCACGCCTTCAGTAATTCCCCATCACTATTGGAATAAAATCAGAACTCCCTTGCCTAGCACTGAGGGCCCGTCATTCTCTGGCTCATTTCATAGAGAAAGGCCCAGGAGATTAGGAGAGATACAGTGATGAGCTCAAGGTTTCACAGCTCCTTATTTTCGAGCCGCCTCTCCAACCCTCAACCTCCTCCTTTGTGTCCTCAGTCCCAATGCAGGGCCCAGCCCAGGCAAGGGAGGCGGGAAATGCTTGCTGGATCATCAACCAACCAGCCGACATTTTATGAGGGGAAAAGGATTAGAACTTATTGGAAGGGCAGACAAAAATTGGCGCACCAAGATATTTGCCATCATGTCCAAAAAGAAAAAACTTTGAAAACAACCTCGAGGCCCACCGAAATGAGGGATGGCCCCACCATGGGCTCTTGTATAACCGCAAATAGTGTATTTTAAAGAAACACTTAGTAACCAGGGCAAATGCTCATGCTATAATGAGCTTGGGGAAAAAGCAAGATACACACCGTCTATGTACTATTACCCCAATTTTGTTTTTCCAAAACATATTTATGCAGAGAAAAAAGACTAGATGTGTCACAACTACTACCACTGTTGCTTGGTCCTAGAACAAGAGAAGATTTTTATTTTCTGCTTTGTATTTTAGTGTTTTCCTAATATTTTATACTGAACATGATTATTGTTCTTAACTACAGGGAAAAGGGGTTATTTTAAAAAGAAAAAGAACACAGACTTAGACGCCAGACAGGCCTGGGTTTCCTGACCAGCACTGTCATTTACTAGCTGTATAACCTTGGGCAGGTCCTTTAATCCTTCCAAGCCTCTAGCCTAGGTTTCCTCATCTGGGACGGGGTGGGTGCACTGAGCCCAGGGTTACTGTGAGGATCCAGTGATTGGGGGTGTGCGAGCACGGGGGTGAACCTAGAGCATGGCTGCTTCCCCCTACCCTGTCAGTTCTCTTCCTAAGAAGCTGGAACCCTGGGCAGGGGTGTGGCCAGGGGAGGCTCTAAGGATCTTGATCGCCCCACCTCCCCTCCTCTCCAGAAGGAACAGTGTGGGAGGCAGGGAGACTTGCTGGGTAAACCTGACACCTCCCAGCCTGGCCCAGGCTGGCCCTACCTGCCCTGCTCCCTCGCCCCTCGCCCCAGGACCCACTCACCTGTTTGAATGTGGCTTCCACCAGGTTGGCTGGGAACATGTTCCTGGGAAGAGAGTCAGTAACTGAAGAATTCCAGAGCCCAGGACAGGAGGGCCCATGGGGTCATCTGAACACCTCAGGGCCTTCCATGACCTAGCCCACCTCCTTCCCATCTGAACACCTCAAGGCCTTCCATGACCTATCCCACCCCCACCTCACGTCTTCCTACCACCAGCCACCCCTACCCCCCACCCCACCTCCCAATCCCCAGTACTCAAAACTCCAACACCAATTGCATACGGTTCCCTAGAGACACTGCATTCTTCCCCAGCACCCAGGCCTTGGTCCACACTGTTCCTTCTGCCTACAGTGTCCCTCCTGCTTCCCTGGCTAGCTCCTACTCCAGTCAGTCAGAGGCCACGCCTTCTCTGATTACTGGCCGACTCTGCGGTTCTTTCCTCGGGGGTCACCCACGCTCCAGAGTACTGCAGGGTGGCACTGGCTCACGGGTCTGCCTCAGTGGTTCCTAGCTTCTCTGTGGTGCCCAATACAGGACCTGGCACATAGATCATAATTCTTATTGACATGATTTTCATAAAGCTGAGGGAGGAGGGGTCTTGTCCTACCGGATATGAACATATACTATAAAGATAGAATATAAAGTACAATATTGATACAGCTGCCAACAGAAAAATCAAGAGAACAGAACATGTAGCCCAGAAACAGAACCTAGTACATCTTTTTTTTTTTTTTTAAGATTTTATTTATTTATTTGAGAGAGAGAGAGAAT